AAGACAGTACAAGTACCTTCCTAGTGTAAGTGGTCTGCTCCTTGGTTTCTGTTATAAGACTGTTTCAGTTTAGCAGCTTCAGAGTGAGCAATGAATGCGCTGTAGCCCTCACAAATGGTAGTTCTGACGTCTCCCTAGCTGCCCCGCCCAACAAAACCCAAACGCTAGTTTCTGTCATGAGTTCAGTTTTTAAAACTTGTTTTTCTTTTTTTCTCGCTGGATTGTTTTAGCCGTGGATGACGCGAAGGAACGACTACTGAGCCCGAAGGTTGGAAAATTGTCCCTTGGCTGACATAAAAAGACCAGGTTCGGAGAAATTCGTACAGTGATGCTGCCAGACTGGGGCGAGGCCCTTTCTGAAGGTGTTCTGTATAATTGTTTTTGCTTCCCTCCCTGGAGAGTCTCTTAGCGACTATAGGTTTGTCATTCTACGCCGCTATTCACAAAATGGAGCCGCGAGGTTTGTCTTCGAGCGGATGTGATATTCGCGCTCAGTTTATCAAACTACATTCACAACGGGATACTTGACAAATACAAGTATAAACCCGCAGAAGAATATCTGTCAAAATGTGGCCTAGATTTTGAAAAGTGGGACAGTAAAGGATAGTGTCGATCCAATGAAAATGAAAACTGATTCATGAAATTTCACCAACTTTTCAGTAATTCTGCGAGATCCACAAGTGATGTATCATCCATGTTACCCTTCCATTCCGGCACTAATAGCATATTTTCGGGATTCAGTTGAGCTGCCTTGGGGTCAACTTCGATGAAAATGACTTTCGAGAGATCACGGTTCAACTTCCCTAGATCCTGAATATTTGTTATATTTAGCGGCGAAAAAACATCAATGTTCAAGAAAAGACCAAAAGTAATGGGATCACTGTTATTACCTTAACATGTTGGCCATGCATATACTTCGTGCAATCCCTATACAGCCTGTACATAATACGTTGCTTTCGGATCAAATGAATCTACCACTGGATGAGCAGTCATCATGGATTCACTGGTGTAAATCACAACCTAAAATGCGTCGATAGTGCTTTCTATAATGAAAAAAAGCACAACAGAAAGATGCTAACCTCAAAATTAGGGTAGCCTACAACGTCAAGGAAGTATTCAAGAGCTGGTCGTTTCGCGAATCTGGAATGGAAGACACTTCTTCATAAAAATCGAGTACGCAGAGAAAGTGGAAGGTCGACGGTGCGATCATATTCCGCGACCGAGGAGACTGGGCTTTACCGGTGTTGCGTGCGAAAGGTAAAAATTGGCACCGGTCGCAAGCGACTGTGGAGATTGAGCAATCCGACGTTTTGAGAGACCTGGCGACCAGTGTTTTGGAAGATCGTCAATCATCAATCATCGTCATAATCCTAAGGCGACCGCCCTTCTTACCCCAAATCGCCGGTTCGCCGAATCTTCCCAGTCGCAAAGTATGAACGCGGCCTGAGCGATAGACTTCGCCATCGTTCAATGATGAACACTTCTCTAGTTACGAAGTAAAACAAACTGAATGAACAACGAAAGAGGATTCATGCGCGCAGAACAAACTCGAGGTTGAAAATAACGAGTAGAATCGACAACTCATGTGAAAAAAAAACAAAGAAGTACCGGTATCCAGTTTTGTACGTCCAATCTGGATGAACAAGCACATTCTTCATTTCTATAACCAAGGTGTATTTTGGCTGGATATATGGATGTGGAAGAGGATCAGGGAGTAATTGCTCCCGCGCTGGTTCCACAACAAACTGTAAGATATTACATTCATATATCTCACATCTCCATTGAAAACATATGAGCACAGAAATTAAAAAAATTCGGAAAAGCTAAACAACAGAGAGGATCTCAGAAAAACGCTTACATCTCTCCAAACTCTGAAGCTGTTTGCTATTCGATAGAAAGGAGCCAAATATGATCCTGTCCACTCATCAGGCACAATATTCCCTGCCTCATCGCGTTTAGCTCTACCTAAAGCCAAACAAGTTGTACATCAAGAGATAGAACGAACGTGGAGATGTTATTAAGGACGAAGGATCGTCCAATCGATGCAAAATTCTATGAAACATTCAAAATTCACCCTTCCCTACACTGTCTACCACATTTCTAGACTTTCCCCAATTTCCCACCGCTTTCCCGGAGAAACTCTCCAGTTTTTCCAAGTACCGCCGTGGGGGAGGGGGCATATAACGCTGTTGCGCCAGTGAAAGGGAGAAACCAACAAAGATGAACAGCCGGAAATATCTTTCCCAGAAGCAAACATGAGCGCTACTAAAGATCCTAACGTACGACGTGTACTGGCGACAAAACCGCGTTCCTAGATTACCAACTGCCCAATTAAAATACGGGGCAACACGAGAAACGGAATAAGCGGCGACCTAGACCAAGCAGGAGTGAGGCCATTAGCATAAGAACACAACGGCAACAACACAAACAAATCAAAATAACTGGCACTAGTGATGATGGCTTTTCCTGAAGAAAGACAGCGGAGACGATCTCCTTCGAGAAAAATGCGCTACAATCCTCATCCCGTAAGAAGGAAGCACCTCGCAGTGACCTCACAAACTACACATTTACACGGTTCCACCAGGATCTTGTGTCATAGTGTAAGGAGGAATAACACAAGAAAAGATAGCACGAAACACAGGCGACTTCTCAGTCTTTCGCAGCCTACTTTGTCAAAGCCGTCAACAGTTTTTCTCGCAGCCTACTTTTGTCAAAGCGTCACGCTCAGCTCCTGGCGAATAGAAAGGAATCAATCGATCGAACTTACCATAATATAGGCAGAAGGCAACCAAACCGGCGACCACAGTGCTTCCGAAAACGATCGCACCACCAATGCGAGTATTCCGCTCTAAACGCTTACGACGTCTCTCCTTATCTCGCTTCTTCGTCGAAAGACTGAAACAACCGCGCACTAAAGAAGTTGCAGGCGACTACAGAAACTTGAGAAATACATAAACATACCCAGCGCTCTACTACAACTGCAACACAATTTTTCCGCCGAAACTTCGCCCTTAATGGGTTATGGTTCTGTTTAGGAGTACGACAAGCGTTTTTGTCGCTGGCGCCATTTGACTAGGGCGCAATGGACACCAACCATCTTTTCCACACAAAACCCCACCTGGAAGACATGCAGCAGTAAGGGTTTTTTCGCAAGTCTGTCACTCAAATATGCCACCCACTTTTCTATCAGCAGTTCGTGAAGTTAACTCTATACTAAGGCTGAGTCCGGGAGGAAGAGTGATCCCTTCTCCATCGGACTCAGCCCTTGCAGAGTGCAGACTGTCATAATCGTAATTAGGATGCCAAATAATCCTATCATGCAAAATTACAATCACTATTTACATGACTCATAAGGTCATTTTTCATTATTACATCATAACACAATTTACAAAAGCTTACGATCCACAATTACAAAAACATTTCCTGATGGAAAAGGCAGTGGCGCCAACTGGCAACGTGACTTAGATACCCGGTGGGCGTGGCCAAAATAGGGCGAGCGCTTAACGTGGACGGATATAATTAGGCTTCAGCGCTTCTTCCTTCCTGAGCTTGGAGACGATAATTTCCTTCTTATTTAAACAGAGCTGTGTGTTTCTACTAAATTTCTACTGCTTGAACTAAGAAGTTCCGAGAGGAAGAATTAACTTAGATTGGAATTTATGCTTTTTGCAAAGGTATACATTAGGCAGAGGCGAAAAAGTGGTTATCAGGTCTTACGTATGATCATGAAATCAACATTAAGCCCACCTTGAAGACAATAGGAACGTTTACCTTGTAAACGGTGCTCCCGTCTAATATCTATTGCGGCACAAATTTGGGAAACACCGGTCCATTTCGAAGCCTTGCCCCTGTGGCCACGCCCACCCGGGTATCTAAGTGCACGCACCCGCGCCCAACTTAGCACCTATTGGAGTCAAATGAAAGCCAAAAAAAATATTGGAGCCAAGAATGAAAGTCTCAGCGGAAATGAATGTCATACCCATCATCAGTACTCTCGATTACCCCTAAGCACATGATTGCAGCGAATCAGTCAGAAAAGTGCTGGCACCATCACCAGCATATCATAGCTGCGGCAAGGAAGAGACTCTACAAGCGAAATGGACTCAACGGAAAAAATTGTGACTTTTTGCAGTCGTAATAGTGGAACACTGATGCAGTAACTTATAACTTGCATGAAGGCTGAAAAGAAAAAAATCACCTCGCCACTAGATCCTTTGGAGCCTCCTCCGGAATCTGATTCTTCTGCCACTTTTTCCAACTCCTCTTTCAATAACCTGAGTTCTTCAACTGCCGATAGCTTTTCTGGTTTCTCGTCCGCAACTGTTTTCCCGTCCTATAAAGAAATTCAAGAGACAAGCACTTAAAAATACAAAATAAGTCAGGTGACAAAGAGAAGTCGACAATCGCCTTTCAGTGAATCGGAACCATAAACTTCTGCACCGTAGACCAGCTACGAAACCTATTTACCTGGCTTGCGCTTTCCTTGGTTTCTAATCGATTCTGTGCAGGCGAAGGAGTTGTTTTCGGCGTATTAGGTTTATCATCCTCTGAGACTTCGCGCGGCATCGAGAAATATGCAGTGCTTGCCGCCGGTGCTGGAGTTCTTACCTTAACAAAACACAATACTGTTAGTAAACAGCAACCCTCAAATTAAATGTAAGAGAAAGAAGGCATTTATCAATTTTTCCCACACCGCCAGCTTAGAAAACATAGAAAATTATCACGCAGTAAACTCATTTCCTTCCAGGCTGCGTCTATACTTTGCGTCAGCGTATTGTGCGACTAGGAAATTAGAGATATCCATCTCAGCGTTTCGCGGTGTTTCTTTCAGAGCGTACGCCAGCGATAGTGAGTGTTTCGAGGGCTGTCGCTGAAAATGCTGGTGTACGCTCGAAGCGCTAAATCGAAATCTACACTTTTCTACCCGCTCATGACGCTTGAAACGGTCAAGCGAGGTATGAACGGACTTCTGGGTTCAATGAATACGTTAGGCAACGGCCAGATAAAACAACAGGGCTGAGTTCTAACTGAAAACGTAAACTTACTGTTCTCGCGGGGTCCGCAAATGGACTTGCCACTCCTGTGTCGGAAAGTAGAGATTTGAAGACCTTTTCGTTGCAGTATGACCTCCGTACTATCGAACTACATATTCGTTTCGCCACTTGTTGGTGAACACAGCCCAAAGC